ATGTTTGTGCTAATCTGAAGGCCACACGAAGTTTGGAGGTCTCAAACTTTTGACTCTGCAGACATTTGGCGACTTCTGTGCTCTGTGTGCTTCAGCATGCGCTGACCCCGCTATGTCATTTTACGTGGCCTACCACTTCGTGGCTAAGTTGCTGTTTTTCCCAGTTGCTTCCATTTTGTTATAGTACCACTAACAGTTGACTGTGGAATAATTAGTAACAAGGAAATTTCACAGATGGACTTGCACAGGTGGCAACCTATCACTTTACCACGCTTGAATTCACTGAGCTCCTGAGAGCAACCCAATGATTTAGAGGGGTGTTCCAATACTTTTGGCAATATAGTGTTTTTTTCCCCCCTTTAATAGTTTTTCTCCCTGTGCTTTGTGCATCCTCTAGACTCTTTAGTATTAAATTGCTAAAAGCAAATAGCCTGTTTCCTTTACAAGGGAAGTTGCACTTTGCAAGGGAATTTTCCTCAGAGCTTCATGAATGAGGGGAAGTTTTGATTTGACTTCCAAAATCTTGTTTTGTTTAATTTTCTTGCTCCTAATTAGGTATTTTTTGCAGAGTAAAATTTCACCACATTTGCTAATCTCTGGCAAAATCCCTTGCAATATGCAATTTCTTTTGCAATATGAAAAGCCTATTAGCATTTAGTAAATCACCCTCTTTGTATGAGTTTCCTGTGAATGTGTGCATGCTTTGTGACTGCTTTAATGAAGTGACTATATTGGAACACGCACTGTGCATTGGTACGGTTGTGTTACATTCCACCTCTGGAGGGCACAAGCAACGTTTACAAAGATGATGGTGAATTGGGTATGCATTGTCACCCTAAGAATGAAAATGGAATGCCTTCAAATACACTGTATCAGAGCACCACAAACCAAAAGCGCTATTGTATTTACTTTTTAATATTCAAATGAAACACCCCATCTATCCATGTCTCAATGCTCATTCTGCTTTGAAGAAACACTCGGCTTGCATTTCTGGCTTTGGCCATCTTGAGTAAGGGCAGATGATTCATGTAGCATTTACTTCCTGGTAATTCATCTGCCCTTAGCTCAGGTATACATGTAGGGGGGTGTGCTTAGCTAAGAAAGTCCCTCCTGCCCTCCTGAAGACTCCTGAGTTGTATGCCATCATTTGCCTAGTCCTGAAAACCTGGAAGTAACTTAACACATGTAAAAACAGTTTAAAACAAGTAAATATGTTTACTTTCCTATCTATTTACTAATACCAGCAGCATAAGGATTCAAAAAAGTCACTGCTGATTGAGAGAAGGAAGTTCTGCTTTAGGATCACCAGATGTGTTTTAACTAAAAGCAGGACATTTAAAAAGGATTAAACTTTTTGACTTCACAGGTAAATGTGCAGCAATATATTTTGTTGTTAAGTGTTCAGGTCTAGATGCACTTTAATATATTCATATTTGTATATTTTATAATCTTATATTGACAGCTTCTGTATGTCTCTGAATCAGTGTTAAATATATTATTATCTATATCAGGGGTGGCGAGAGCCGCGTGCGGCTCCCAGCCAAAATGAATGCGGCTCTTTGCCTCTTATCATATTTTGTATACTGTGGCTCTTTGCCAAGTTTCATGTTTCTCTTATTTTTACCTGTTCCTCTATCCAGCGGCACGCTGTCTTCCGGCTTCTGTAGTGTGGGCACTGGGCATGACAGCCGGGTGCCAAGTGCGTATGCGCAAGAAGCGGTGCTTTTTGTGAATGGTAAGGCGGTACCTGGGACACATGACAGATCCCAGAAGCCGCCGGGACCAATCACAAAGCGCAAGTGCTTCTCGCTCATGCGCACTGGGCACCCGGCTGTCATGCCGAGCGCCATTACAGAAGCTGGGAAGACAGCGCGTGGCTGGATCGAGGAACAGGTAAGATCAAACAAAAACTCTGCTGAAGTAAGAGCGGGTACCTGTCAAATTCAGGTACCCGCTCCCCACCTCCCCAAAGGTCAGCAGTCATCTGTACTGTCCGCAGTCTCTGGTCATCCCTGTGCTGTCCGCAGTCTCTGGTCATCTCCTGTACTGTGTCTGCAGTCCATTAGTTCAGAATTTTTTTTTGTATACTTGTGTGTTAGAGTGTGAGAGAGAAGGGAGAGAGAGAGAGACAGGTGCCACAGCAACCTCCAGGGTAGTTGATGTGTTAACTCTGGCTAAGTTGCATTTGATGTGTGTGTTGAGGGTGGACACTTACCTTGAAATGAACACATTGTTGTTTTGTAAGGGGAAGAAAAGTGTTATGGTGAATAATATGGTTTTAATTATGTGTTTTTGTGTGAGTGTTTGTCTGTTTTGGCAGGTCACTGCGTGGTGTGGCTCTCTGACTTTCACAGTTTAAAATTTTGGCTCTTTGTGTCTAACTTGTTCGCCACCCCTGATCTATATAGTACCAATAATCTTAATAATAATAATGCTGCTACTAGACTAGTACACCGTACTAACCGATCTGTGACTGCTGCCCCTCTCTGCCAATCTCTTCACTGGCTTTCACTAGCCCAAAATATAAAATTCATAATACTAACCACAACATACAAGGCCATCCACATCATCATCCCCAGCTACATCACCAACCTCATTTGCAGATATCGCCCAAAACCATCCTCTTCGTTCCTCTCTGCTCCTCTCAAGACCTCCTGCTCTCCAGTTCCCTTGTTACCGCCTCCCATGCTCTCCTCCAGGACTTCTGCAGAGCCTCTCCAATCCTCTGAAACTCCCCGCCCCCCAGTATGTCCGGTTAGCTCCTACCCTATCTGACTTTAGAAGATTCTTGAAAACTCATTTATTCGGGGAAGCCTACCCCAGCTCCACCTAAGACCTGGTCTTGAGTCACCTCTATCAGATCATCCCCTGCAGCTATTACCTTTTTTACCTCCTCCTCCTCCCTTTAGATTGTAAGCTCCAATTCCTTCTGTATCAAACTGTGTTGTAATTGTACTTTTCCCCTTTATATTGTAAATTGCTGCATAAAATGTTGGCACTATATAAATCCTGTATAATAATAATAGCATTAATAAAAATATCTTCTACATCAATAGTAAAAAAAGATATGGAGTAGATTTTTGGAAATCAAAATTGTACATCACTGTTAAAAATACTGGAACTATGTAGATCATATTATTAACAATAACAATGAAAATATCTTCTGCATCATTGGTGAAGAAATCTTGTGCCATACATCCAGCTCAGTGTCTAGCAGTATAAGTGAATAAAATACTTATATTTTCTGAAAGATTATGACTTATTCTGGCATAGGAAAGGTTTGCAGATTTGTCCTCCTAACACCTGGGACTACATAAAGCATCTCTTAGTTGCCAACAAAGACACTTGATACACAAGCTCCTGTGTGCTATTGCTCTGAAATGTGCTTTTCATAGAACACCCTCCCTGTCTCTTGAGCTCAGTGTTAGCGCTGTTGACATTGCTCTTGGAATGAATGACTCAGCTATTTTAACTAATCAACTTGGCTGTGATCTAAGATCCTTTATCATAAAAACCACAGTTCTTTTTATTCATGAAAGGTTGGTAACTATAAGGTTCAGGGGCTCCTCAGTGTACACAAACTATGGGGTTTGAACTTTTGAGTAGTGGAGGTCCTAAATAATGGAAATTCACTAAGGGCCAATTCACACCAGTGCGTTGATCTGTGTTTTAGCGCAGTTGTAAAACGCAGGTCAGCGGAAGGACATCTGAAAAACAAGCATTTCCAATGTGCCCTATGCAAACCATAACTCTGCTTTGACCTGTGTTGTGGTATAACGCAACATGCATTTTAGCACAATGCAACGTATGTAAGCGGATGCAAGCAGATGTAAGTGGATGTCAACACAATGCGCAGGGTATCCTGTGAAAATGTAGTACGCGTTTAACATGTGCTAAAATGCCAACTCACATCAAAATGGATGTCAATGGATGTCAGCGCGCAATTTAAATGGATGAAAATGTCCATCCATTTTCCAGCCATTTTAGCGCAAGTCCTTGTGAATTGGCCCTAAAACTGTCTTAATTTTTGACTGTTTCTGCCAGAATTCAATACGTGCATTTAACTGCTAGTTTATTATGCACACCTTTCAAGTATTAGTTAGGATCCCATTTTCCTTCAAAACTAAATTTCTTATAGCATGGCTTTAGCAAGGAACTAAGAACACTCCTAAAGGATTTTTCTGTGTGTACTCTTTATGACTCTGTTCCTTTGTCTTCATATTTTTTAGCCTGGGACCCTCTTGTCCCCCCTCGTTCTAAAGGCGAGACTGTTTTGAGTTTTGGAGAATATGCAAGTCACTTTCATATATCAGAACCAATGTGAGATGATGCACATAGTGGGGTTTATTCACTAAAGCTGGAATGCAAAATCAGACTCACTTTTGCATAGAAACCAATCAGCTTTAAAGATTTTATTGCCAAAGCTTAATTAAACAAGCTGAGGGTAGAAGCTTATGGGTTTCTATGTAGAAGTGAGCCTGATTTTGCATTCTCCAGCTTTAGTAAATAAACCCCTTTGTGGCATGGTACATTATCTTGCTAGATGTAGCCATTGTACAACAGACTGTGGCCATAAAAATATACTCATTGTGAGAATTAATACCGAAGTATGTAGTGTTGTTTATAGTTTAATTATCTACATTATTTCAGAAATAAGGAGTCCCCCCCCCCCCCAGGCCCTGTTCCCGGGACACAGGACAAATAGAGCAAATGGATTTTTTTTAAACCGCTCCAGACTCTACCTAAAGTAGGGCAGGGAACAGAATTGATTGACAGAGGAGTAAGGTGGTCAACTGCATCTCTCTGTGTTAGTACCTGTTGTACATGAAACATGGTGTCAGAAGTGACTTGAATCAATGAAACATGGTGTCAGAAGTGACTTGAATCAGGACTGAGCCTCTTGTTTGGAGCACAGCAGCTTTGGGAAACACAGGTTTGTGAACTACAGCCTGAGACTGTGGATTTTCTGATATTTGATAGCTCAGAGGCTTACTGACAATATGGCTGCCATGAATTGCATACCTCCCCCAGAGGGGATGACAATGAGTGGGGATTGAAGCAGCAATTGGGAATCTTTCAGAGCTGAATTTGAAGATTATTCTCTGGCTACAGGCTTGAATGAGAAATCTGCAGTAGTGCAGACAGCAACTCTGAGAAGAATCATGGGCAGTGAATGCAGGCATGTGTATAAACCTGGGGCGGACTGACCATTTGGAAACTCGGGCACTGCCCGAGGGCCCAGGGTCAGTAGGGGGCCCCATGAGATGCCCCTGGTACCTTTTTCATAGACTTTTTTGAGTTTGGGCAAGGACACAGGGGCCCCATGATCCCCTATTGCCCGGGGGCCCCATGAGTTGTCAGTCCGCCCCTGGTATAAACACAATCTGTCCCTCAGAGCAGATCAGCAACACAATGTTACAGCCATTTTAAATGCACTGGAAGCTTATTTCAAACCTACTAAAAATGTCATTTATGAAAGGTATGTGTTTGGATGCTGCAAACAAGAAGAGGGAGAATCTTTTGATAACTTTGTTACACGCTTGAGAGAAAAGGCAGCAACTTGTGAATATGGCACACTCAGAGATGAATTGATAAGGGACACAATTGTTGTTGGTATATCCAGCGAGAGCACACGCAGGCAGCTCCTAAGGGAACATGAGTTCACTCTACACACAGCCATTGAGACATGCCATACAGCAGAGCTCACTGACAGACGTCTGAAAGTTATGGAACAGGACAGACAGCAGACCGACAGCATAAACATTGCAATGCAGCATGGCAACATAAACAAACTTCAGCAACGCCGCCTGATTAGCACAAATACTGCCAACCCTACAGCTTGCAAATACTGTGGGACTGTGCATCAAAGAATTAAAGCAGTGTCCAGCTTATGGGAATTCTTGTAAGTCTTGTGGAAGAACAAACCATTTTGCTAACGTTTGCCTGTCAAGTAAACGACAGCCATCAATAGGCAAATTACACAATGTGGAGAACACATCCGCATATGAGGAAGAGACACACACCACTGAAGTTATATACAGCAGTGAATTGATCGGCGCTGTGCAATCCAGAGGAAAGAAATGGTTTGTAACTTTACATTTAAATAATAAGCCCCAATCCTGTCAGCTCGGTTCAGGAGCAACTTGTGATGTAATGTGTTTAAGAGACAAAATGGTGTTAGCACCAGAAGCACGTCTACTGCCAAGTGACACCAAGTTAAAGTTATACTCCGGTGCGATAATGAAATCTCTAGGGCTCTTCAAGACAGAATGTGCCATACGTGGACTAACACACAAGCTGGAGTTTGAAATTATGGAAGCCTGCCAAAAGCCACTGTTGTCTGGCTCAACATGTGAGCGTCTAGGGCTGATACGTTTCTCCGTCCCTGCAGAGCTTAATGTGATGGACAATCTATTCAAGGGGCCCTTGACAAAACAACTGCTGCTAAAGGAATTTAGTGATGTGTTTACTGGGCCAGTAGAATCTATACCAGGGGAAGTTCATTTTGACCTTGATGTGAGTGTCCCTCCAGTCCAATGTGCACCACGCAATGTGCCGGTGGCATTAAAACAGGCAGTTAAGGCACAGCTTGACCAGTATGAGGCCAATGGACACTTGGCACCAGTGACTGACCCAACTGACTGGATAAGTAACATGGTGATTGTAAGGAAGCCAAATAAGCTACGAATATGCATAGATCCAAAATTCTTAAATATGGCACTGAGACGATCTCACTACATCATGCCAACTCTCAAGGATGTTTTTTACAAGCTGCCTAAGGCACGTCTGTTCACGCTTGTTGACGACCTGGATGCAGTTCTGTTGTTCAACATGATTCTTCACACCAGCAGCTTGTGTTGTCTTCATTCCTGTACATGAAACACCTGTCACCATAATGTGTTACCTTCACTATTATATAAATTATTAGTTTTCATATTCTAAAATGTCTGACAGTAAAATGACACATTTGTGGCCTAAAATATTTAACGCCTCGTTTAGATCTCGTGTAGTGGGAAACAGCACGCCTGCTTGAGATTTACACCCATTTCCACGTCACACTTAGGGCAGCCCATTCACTTTAAAGGACTACCTAAAGTGCGCTTGTCGCCAAAAACAAGCTCCTGCTGCTTTTTACATGACAAGCCTTACACGATTTTTTAAATGCATGTTATGCCTCTATTGCCATGCAATTCTGTCAGATGACAATTGCATCAAAAAATGATAGGAATTAGAATAATGGCATCCAAATGTGCGTTACATGTTTCGCCATGATTTGGAATGGCAGGCAGGGTTGCAGCACTTCTGCCGACTGTTCCAAATCACCAAGTGTGAACGGAGCCAAAGGCAGGACTCCAGGCAAATGGAAAACACTGATGAAATACATATATTGGAGCTGTTTTACCTGCCATAGGATTAGTATTTCTGTTCATCCAGTCCTGAGATTTTCACGCTGCCACACAGCACAGTTCTGCAACAACACAAAATACTTCACTGAGCCCCCTTTGTTCAGGTGGGGGGGAGAAGAGCAGGGGCAGAAAGGAGATTATTTAATACCTTTGGGGTGCAGACAAAGTAATCTTCTACAATACAGTTCCCAATGATTAAATTAATGTTGTGGCCTCTTCTGTATCAGTCAGTCAGGGCAGGTCGGGACTGTACTTGTTGGGGAATGTGACACTGCAGATTACTCCACCTGCACCCCAAAGGCATTAACTAATTTAATTTTTTTCCCCTGCTGAAGAAATGGGGCCCCAAGAAGTTTATTTTCATTACTTGTTTTGCCCTCTGTAAAGCAATCCACAATGGATTTCATTTTAAAGGCTGTTTGACAGGCGGTAATGACCCCTGAGTTAATACTTAAAAACCTGCATCACCATACTGCAACTGAATGTATTGTATGTGGTTGAGGGACAGCCCTATTCAGTGGAATGGGTTGCATTCAGCGGCTGAACACAACAGGGGGATATTTTTTTTCATGCCATGATGCAAAGCATCGCAGCCTCAGCATGTGCATACCCCCACTGACTTTGCAGCTTTTGCCTTGTCCACTTCCACAGCTTTTGCCTGTGCATTATCCCCTCTTAACCCTTGCACTCTGTACGTTACCCACTCCTGACCCCTATGCTCTATGTGTTACACACTCCAGACCCCCACACTGTATGTGATACAAACTCCTGACCCCTGCACTCTATGTGTTACCCACTTCTGACCCCTACACTCTATGTATTACCCACTCCTAACCCCTGCACTTTGTACATTACACACTTCTAACCCCTGAACTCTGTTACCTACCCACTCCTGCACTGTGTACATTACCCATTCCTTACCCCCGCACTCTACATTGACCACTGCACTATGTACGTTACCCATTCCTGACCTCTGCACTCTGTACATTACCCACTCCTCACCCCTGAACTCTCTTAACCCCTGCACTCTGTGCACCCCTGCACTCTTTACATTATCCACTCCTGACCCCTGAACACTCCTAACCCCTGCACGCTATACATTACATATTCCTGACACCTACATTGTGTACATTATATACACCTGATACGTGCACTCTGAATGTTACATACTCCAGATACCTGCACTTTGTATGTTACATACTTTTGACCCCTGTGCTTTGTACAGGCTTTTAACCCCTCCCATTGTTAGTGCAAATTTGCCACACCAGAATTTCTTAAAAATGAAAGTGGCTGCAGGCTGGAGGAGGGCTGGTTGGGCTCAGGCCCTGGCCTTGTAAGGTAGGCTGTACAGGACCCCATGATTTCTAATGTCAGCTCTGCTCCCCTCTGGGCTTTGACAACTTAAGGCTTCACAGCTGGGTGCCCACTTCACATGCATAAGCTACGCTGCTCATTGTGAATGGTCCCGTATTCTTCTGGGGCCTGCCATGTGCCCCCAAAGATTGTGGGGGGAAGTTAAATTTCCACTTCTGATCGCCTAGGGAGTCAGAGCGGAGGTGGGATCTGGTACTTGTCAAAGTCAGGAACCCCCCCCCCCAAAAAAAAAGAATAAGTGCCATTTCACAAACGAGCTTGGAGGAGGCCCGAGGAGGCCTTAAAGCAGAGCTTCCTCTTTTCGGTGGAGTTCTACTTTGACCCAACATTCATCAAACATTCACTGCAATCTTCTAGATGATTGTTTTAAACAACAGTAATTGATTCACCACCAGTAAATGTCTTTTGAAAGTCACATTCAATGCTTTTAAATTATAGGTTCACCTTTAGGAACATTTTACATGTTACACCACTATTTTAGGATGTAACATGCTCCTAATCACCTGCCTTCTACCACCAGAGCCCCCTCCCTGTGACTGCTTGTGGGGGTTCCTTGACACACAGACTTGTAGTTCTCAATGGACTGTGAGTGTGTTAAAGATTCTGTATAACGCCCTACAGAATAGACAGTGCACAGTCCACAAAACTGACAGTCCATACAGAGGTAAGAACACAGAACTGTAGGCAGTGTCTGCAAGAGCCTGATGTTGCACCCATGATCCACTGATCACGGGCACAATGCTCTGCAGGCTCCTGTGATAAAATCAATGAATGCACATTTTTTTCCTGCAGAAATATGTGCATTTATTATTTTTTTCCTAAAGGTGAACTTAGCCTTTAACCGTGTTCCCGCTGCTCTATATAGTAGAACTACTGCTACAGGGCAACAGAGCTGCGCAAAATCACACACAGATACAGTGGGGCAAAAAAGTATTTAGTCAGCCACCAATTGTGCAGGTTCTCCCACTTAAAAAGATGAGAGAGGCCTGTAATTGGCATCATAGGTAAACCTCAACTATGAGAGACAAAATGAGAAAAAAAATCCAGACAATCACATTGGCTGATTTGGCAAGAATTTATTTGCAAATTATGGTGGAAACTAAGTATTTGGTCAATAACAAAAGTTCATCTCAATACTTTGTTATATATCCTTTGTTGGCAATGACAGAGGTCAAACGTTTCCTGTAAGTCTTCACAAGGTTGGCACACACTGTTGCTGGTATGTTGGCCCATTCCTCCATGCAGATCTCCTCTAAAACAGTGATGTTTTGGGGCTGTCGCTGGGCAACACGGATTTTCAGCTCCCTCTAAAGGTTTTCTATGGGGTTGAGATTTGGAGACTGGCTAGGCCACTCCAGGACCTTGAAATGCTTCTTACGAAGCCAATCCTTCATTGCCCGGACGGTATGTTTGGGATCATTGTCATATTGGAAGACCCAGCCACGTTTCATCTTCAATGCCCTTGCTGATGGAAGGAGGTTTGCACTCAAAATCTCACGATACATGGCCCCATTCATTCTGTCCTGTACATGGATCAGTCGTCCTGGTCCCTTTGCGGAGGAACAGCCCCAAAGCATGATGTTGCCACCCCCATGCTTCACAGTAGGTATGGTGTTCTTTGGATGCAACTCAGCATTCTCTCTCCTCCTCCTACCAAACAGTTCTATTTTTGTTTCATCTGACCATATGACATTCTCCCAATCCTCTTCTGGATCATCCAAATGCTCTCTAGCAGACTTCAGACGGGCCTGGACATTTACTGGCTTAAGAAGGGGGACACGTCTGGCACTGCAGGATCTGAGTCCCTGGCGGCGTAGTGTGTTACTGATGGTAGCCTTTGCTA